GAGCGAAATAAAGGGTTCAGTTCGACATTCCAACCACCTGAAGAAGGCCGGAGCGTAAAACGGCCGAAACATTGTGATAAATATGGCGACAAAGATGGGGACAATAGTCCGAATAATGTAAATAATGTACATAATACCTTATCTCAGAAATATAGACAGACTTATTTTTCTATCTCAGTTACTGGCGTCGTTTATTTATTTGTGCAGGTTTCCATTCACGGTATCCACAACATATATGTTACCTTCACTTCTGTTCCAACATGTTTTTCTCGCACTTCGTGCCTGTGGAACTCCCTTCCGTTTACTTGTTTCCCTCAAAAATTTAAATGCAACGTTAATCGACATCTTCTGTCTTCTTGAATCCCGTTCTTCTTTTATACTTTCCTCAATTCCCTCTATACACAGTATTTTCTCTCAGTTTTACCCTCTGTAAGCCTCTGCATATTGAGTGACATTCCCGACTTGCTAGGGGTTAAATGATTAAATAAATAAAAATAAAAATAAAAAGGTCCGAATTAATAAAAATATTTTGAAATTCCTAATCTAAAAAATGAAACAGAAAATTATCAAAATCAATATAAACCATCATAACCAAATCTCGAAATCATCTGATAGTAGATTTAGAGCCTCCAAAGCGAACCTCTGATGTCTTTCGGGATGGAGGTGCAGTAGATTAAGCCATTAGTTAATCTTTTGCTGCTGCCAAATAGTAAAAACACTCATGTACAGGGTCCACTGTAAGTAATGTGACTTAAAAGAAATCAACTCCGTGAATTAAAGAAGACATTTCGTTTATGAATGACATCGTATAAAAACAAACATGAATATCTTTTTTGGTAGCAAACAATTAACAACGTTAAACTGCATTCGAAATTCTGTCAAACGCCTTCGAAATATCTAAAGCAACATTTCAAACTTCGACATACTTATCTAAAGCTTGACTATTTCAGCAATAACCGTAAAATCATCGGCACTTGACTTAGGGAAGCCATATTGTTTTTCAGAAGAAAAAAAAACCACGAGTAGAGATCTTTAACCTATTCATATTAGAGCTTCTACTAAAAGAGGTAAAAAGAATAAGAAATCTCGATACTCTGAAGTATCAACCGAATTCTTAAAAACAGGAACTACAGAATACGGAAAGCAAGAATAAAAAAAAGAACATCTATTCTAGATTTTTCAGGGAACAGTTCATAGGTACATTTGTTAAGGACAACAGCAGAAATATAGATGTCCATATGCTTTGTGGGGATCAAGATAGCGGATACAACGAACGGATTTGTTTACATATCATATAGTAGAGACTTAAGTGAAAACTCAGGCAAATGGACTCCTGAGAAGATATAGAATAGAATTGGAAGAACAGTTGCGGGTAAAGCATTCTGCTTTATGAGTAGAACATTACAGAACTTGAAATTTATTGAAGAGAAGAGGAATTGAGGATTTACTCTTATACAACGCATTCTTACAGAGCCATCATTAGATACGAGAACTGAATTTGTGGGAGGCTATACCGCATGTCAGCCTGTCAGCGAACAACTACTTAGTGCCTTTGGGGACACAAGTTTATTACGAGCAGACACAATTTTTTGTTAACCTTTGTTTGACCCATTCTCACAATTGTAGTGAATGAAATGACGACTGAAGTTACAAATCCTGCAAAATTAAGTGATCAATCAACGGGTCAGCTTCTAGTTGGCATTGTCTTTTAACGCAAGAGTGGGAAAACCAGTATTAGGTTATTAGCACTAATTATTTAAAAAAAGGTATCGCTAAACACAAATATATTTATTAATCGTTTTCATTTTGTGCAAGAGAAAAATACTTTGCGCTTCAATATTTATTGAGTCCACTGAAAATATATACGACAAACGTATAAGTTTTCTTATTTGTATTATTTATATTAATCGGACTGTTATCCTCATCTTCATTGACATGTTCACCGAATAATGTAAATAATACAAGTAATCATAATCTCAGAGATATAGACAGAGAGTTTTCTTGCCTCTAAATTATTTATGGCATTTCCTGGTAAGACAGAGAGCCATAATCGACAGGTGTGTAAAAGATTAAGATTATATTTTGAAAGATTAATACATATGGCCAACCGTCTTATGTCCATACTAAGTGCAACGACGGGATTATAGTTTCACATTCGCCATTACGATATCGAAACATTCACAAAAGCAATTTGTTCTCATAAAATAGGGCTGCAGCAGAGACAATTTTTTTCTAGGGGTGGGGGAGCAAAAATGTAGAATTTAGCCATAAGTTATCAAAGGCCGCCAATATGGTTAGCGGCAAGAACATTTAAAATTTTCAGCACCCCCCTTGCTTTAATATTTTTTCTTTCCTTTATGTCTTTCTTTATTGTATTTTGTTATAATAAAGCCCTGTAAAAAAGACTACAATTGTTAAAAATATGGGGGAGCAGAGGACCTCTCCCAGGCTGTACGACCCTGTAAAATGACAGATAATAGTTAGGAAGGTATAACTCTAGGAAATAAAGGCATTTGAATAGAATAAGATAGTTTTCAATATAATGAGTACGTGTCACTCCTTGTTACAGTTTCTTCTAACAGCAGCTCAGAAGTTTCTTTTGAAAATACCCAAAATATTATCAGAAAACATTATACCAAAAATGTAGCTTTTTGTTAGACTAATCCATTTAATGTAACTCTGCTGTTTTTCGTCAAAATCTAGCAATCTAATATTTATTCATTTAATGAAAAATTCGAAATTGATCCTCACAATTAGTGGTCATGTTTATTCTGTTGGACTGGAATATAAACAGTTAATGTTATTTACGTAATACTAGTTTAGTAAATTCAATAATCATTTCCGAATAGACCAGTGTAGGTACGCGAGAAGTAGGATAAGATCACATAAATAGAGCGTATGGTCGATTATAATCATAATTTTCAATATTTAGCCATCAGTTTATTTTAATCAGTTGCATGCTTATTTTTACTTCAACACTTCCTGTATTAAATTAAACAAACTTAAATATTTCGTGATCTTGGATCAAATGTTGCTTATTTGATCTCACAGAAAGTTATTTTAACTCTTTAGATATTCAATTAAATTTGAACAACCCTCTTTTTATATGTGATGTTACTAAGATTAATAAAAATAAGTCTTATTATAGATCAAAAGTGAGAAATCTAATCTTGTCTATCATTACTATTTTAGTTTCAATATCTATTTCTGTGATACTAAACTAACTTTAATAAATAAAAAGATTGATGCTTAGTCAAAAGATTGTAAAGTAATCACGTCGAATATTATCAATATGTTAGTCATTTAGATTCTCAATTCCACTTGAACACTTGTGTGCGCGTGACAAAACCAGGCTTGTTATATTAGTACGTTTGACCCACGATGGAAAGCTAGTAATCTCGTTGACGATTGTAATGTTAGACATTTTGATCCTCACTTTACTCTCAACGGTTATTTGTTTTTCTACCACCCTCTCTCTTTATCTGTGAAAGAGTGGGATAGAGATTAATGAAAGATAATAATAAATATTTGGGTCATGGTTCAAAAACTAACAAAGCAATCCCTTAGATCTTGACTAATTTAATCAGGTCTTCAATAAGACATTTAGAAATAATTAGAAGGATTTGAAATAATCATAATTAAGTAATTCATTGAGTTTATAAGAAACCTCAACAGAATGCAGACGGCCATTTCGCTCTATATTCGGGACTCATCAGCAGTGCGCATCCACTACCAAGAATTGAAACCCGAGCATTTACGATTGGAGGCAAACGCCATAGCAACTATACCAACGGGCCTCGGTGACGAAGACGTAACAAATTAGACTAGATATAGTTCTTTCGATCATTTCTTCGTGGAACTCATCTGAGTTTCTCTTTTACCCATAGGACTGTGCCCCCCACGAGCCACGACTACTATCCTCAAACCGCTCAGTCCAGAGCATTTGAAGCCGGTTCAAGCAAGGATATACAGATAGAAATGAGACTGAGCGGCTTGGGGATAGTACTCGTAGCTCGTAATGGCCCAGTCCTATGGGTAAAAGAGAAACTCGGATGAGTTCCACCACGGAATATGAGATCGAGCCGAGGTATATCGAGTCTAATTCGTTACCACTTCGTCGCCGAAGTCCGTTGGTAAAGTTGGTATGGCGCTTGCCTCCTATCGTAACTCTCCGGGTTTCAATTCTCGGTAGTGGATAAGCATTGCTGATTAGTCCTAAATATAGAACGAAACGGCTGTCCAGGGCTTTATGCATTCTGTTATGGTTTCTTCTAGACTCGATGAATTAATTATGAGTAAGGCATTTTTATGTCGGCCTATGCCAGTCTTTTTTTATGTCAGAGACTAGTTGTTATTAATAAGTTACAATCAATTAAATTCACTATTAGTGTGAGACCGATCGTTACTGAGAGCTCCATCGTTATAGTTTCTTCTAGGGAAAGGGAATGTTTTATATCTATTATGTATCTACTGTCTGTGTTTCCCATATGCGAGCGTTTAAATTTTGCGATATCCGTGTGGTCTGAATAGAAACTGTTTTCATTTGTCTTCTTTGTATTGATTTATTCCGGCTGGTTTTGTAAGGAGGCTTTACAATAATTTCTTTCTTTGGTCGCTTACTCAACAGCGTGTCTGCCTCTCGGCTTGCATACTTTCGGCCGTTATGCGTTTCGACTTTGTAATTTTCTTAGGCTTTAGTTCCGTCTTCTGGACTCCATTCAAACAACAAAGGCAAAAACAGTCCCACCTCTTTTGATAGTCATACACACAATTCTAAATAATGTTCTTGAGCATATTTTAATATTTTCCTACACACTGTTTTTATTTGCTTTTAGGTCTCTCTTGTCATCATTCTTGATTATAATGTGTCTTTGAGGTCTCAAAAGACCCATACAAATCCAATTTCTCTTCTCTCCGTTATTATTATTATTATTATTACTATTATTATTATTATTATTTTTATTATTATCAATAATGTTGTTATAACAATAATTATTATTTCATGCCATAAATGATGGTCTATAAGAGACAGACAGAAAAAAAATGCGAAATAGAAATAGGTTTAAAAATCGATCAATCGATCCGTATTTAGAGAGAGAGAGGGGTGGGAAAAAGGAAAGAAAAAAGAAACGTATGTTGAAAAAAGGAAAGAAGATAAACAACGATACAAAACTAAAAGAAATTTAGAAACATCGAGAGTCAGTATGTGACATTGAGAGAGTCAGAAAAAAATTATAGTGTGAGGGAATATTAAAAGAACATACATGGCAACATATATATATATATATGATAAAAATAAGATATGCTAAATTTATGAGTAAAAAGTACTCGATATCAGGGACAGAGCGTATTGTAATAACAAAAGTACGCAGGCGTAGGCATTAAGAAAGCTTTATTCAACTGAGAATACAAGGTTAGCGTATATATTTTATAGTCCCAGAAAACAGAATTAGATCTCTAAAAGTGGAGAGTAACAAAACAAGGAGAGAGCACTCTTGATTATTCAAAACACGTATGTAAATATAGCGTTGTTTACGCTTTTTCTTTTTCCTGGGATTTTTCTGCTATTTCATTATTTAATCCATCTCTATCTCCCGATTTATATATATATATATATATATATATATATATATATATATATATATCCGCCATAGCTACCGTGATATCACCTTGGTCGTCAGCTGAAGAAGACAGGGTATCGCACGTGCTAACACACGTTGTATGTTATATATATATATATATATATATATATATATATATATTTATATAATCGACTCTCCCGCAGATCAGTTTCCAGGAAACCGACAGCTCGACACCGGCACATGAGATTTGATTATAGTGGTGAAGGCCGTGTGCAGGACCATCCACACTTTTTGAAGGGACGAATACAGAGACCTGGTGCACCGAATGCCACAAGGTTTTCAAACGACCCTCCGCAGGTTTTAAATTCAGAGTTGTTCTTCTCCTAGACCAGTTGCCGTCCAAGTCTATAGAACCCAGTCTGTCGTGCTATTTACCCATAGCTGGAGGGAGAAGAAGAGGATTCATGCCTTTCCCAAGGGTATTAGCACGTAAGTGAATGTAATGGATTCGAATGGAATTCGAACTCGGCTATCCATTACTCCACCGTATATATATATATATATATATATTTAGGCAGCAATTTCTTTATTGATGCATGTTTCATTAAATAATATAGACAAGTTTTGTCTACTTATTTTAAGTAAGTTCCTTTCATATTGCCTGATAACAGAAGCCATTGGGTTATACTAACGGTTTCCCATACTTAATACTTCTCGATTTCACTCTCGCGTGGTTATGTGTGACCTCACGAGAAGCGACGCAATTTTCGTTTCCGCGTCTCGTATACATGAGTTTGTCGTTGCTTTAAAATTTTTCATGCAACACAAACAGATTATCACTATTGGTTCATCCGTATATTTTTTGATATATTGAAATGTAATTGTCACCTTTGTTAATGCCTTATATAAGCCGAAAGTTTAGATTGGATTTAAACATGTATCAATATGGTGATTTACTTTCGTCTTTCAATGAATGTTATTAAGCTTATCAGACAATATGAAAGGAACTTACTTAAAATAAATGGACACAACTTGTCGATATTATTTAATAAAACATGCATCAATGCATATATTTATATATATATATATATATATATATATATATATATATATATATATATATATATATATATTTATATTTATATATATATATATATATATATATATATATATATACATACACAGTGCGTAGCAAAATTATTTAACACATTGGTTTTTCTTGCATATATTAAAAAATAACACATCAATTTCAACGAAACTTATAGGAAATATTTAAACGAAAATTGTCGATCAAAACGTAGAAGGAAAATTTAAAACCACTGTTTTGAGAAACATTTATTAACAATAAATAAAATAACCCATATGCAAAAGTATTTAACACACTTTACTAATATTTAGTACAGTAGCATCTGTTCTGCTTCACAGCCTCCAGTCGTTTCCCGTAGTCTTCAACTAGTTTCTTGCAGGTACTTGTTGGTATTTTGACCCATTCTTCTTCACAAATTTTCTTCAATTTGCTTAAATTCGATGGATTTCTTTTATGAACTCGTAACTTCATAAATTTTCCACAAATTTTCGTTTGGATTTAAATCCGGGGACTGGCTTGGCCATTCCAGGACATTAATGCCATTATTATTAAACCAATTCTTAGTTGTTTTAGCAGTATGCTTCGGGTCATTGTCTTGCTGTAATACAAAATCACGACCATGTCCCAAAGATGTGGCACTGTTCAAGAGTTGACAAAAATTGAGTGTATTTTGCAGCATTCATTGTTCCTTCGATGATTTTCATTTTTCCCACTCCATTTGAGGAAAAACAACCCCACATCATAATATTTCCACCTCCATGTTTTACTGTAGGGATGGTATTTGCTGGTTCGTATTCTACTCCTTGTTTTCCTCCATACATGAGTGCGCATGTTTCGTTCGTAAAGCTCAATTTTCGTTTCGTCTGACTAAATTACTTTCTCTCAGAAATCATTAGATTCACTTTCATATTTCTTAACAAAATTCGAACGGGCTTGTACATGTCGGCGTTTCAGTAATGGAGTCTTTCTCGTTGATCTTGAAGTGAGACCTGCACGATTCAGTGATCTTTTAATTGTATCTTTACTAACTTCAATTCCGGCATTTTTCAAATCATTCTGAATTTTGAGTTGAAAATGGATTTTTCTTCACAGTACGGGAAATGAATCGCTCATTAGCCTCACTTAAGATACGGGGACGACCACTCCTTTGAATGTTTTCAATAGTATCGAATTGTTTTCCATTTTTGAACAACATCACCAACTGTACTCACAAGCAAATTCAAATCTTGAGCGATTTTTCTATATCCCTTACCATCTTTGTGAATCTTTATGATCTTCTTGAGCATGTCGTTCGACAATTCTTTTGTTTTCACAATTTTCTTGCAGGAGTGGCAACAGTATAGCTGCAGTGTCTCAGAGCTGTTATCTAATAGCCAGTTGAATGTCGTGCAGTGCTGTCACTGGTCGACATATCACATCATATCAGTATGGGTAGGAATCATGACGACATGTCACTTCTAGCATAATATTTGCATTGGTGTTAAATAATTTTGCAAATGGGATATTTTATTTATTGTTAATAAATGTTTCTCAAAACAGTGGTTTTAAATTTTCCTTCTACGTTTTGATCGACAATGTTCGTTTAAATATTTCATATAAGTTTCGTTGAAATTGATGTGTTATTTTTTGAGATATGTAAGAAAAACCAATGTGTTAAATACTTTTTGCTACCCACTGTATATATATATATATATATATATATATATATATATATATATATATATATATATATATATCTGTGTGTGTGTGTATGTATGTATGTATATAATATGTGTGTGTTTGTGGAGACGGAGATGTATATCTCTAAATATCTATTGCTTACGTTTTTTTGACCTTCTGATTATATTTCTTTGCTCTCTCATCATTTCTCTTTCTATCTCTCCCTCCATATCTCTCTCTCTCTCTCTCTCTCTCTATCTATTTATCTGTGGCTGTAAACAAAGATATGAATAACAATTGCGTTTAAGCGTGAACAGACTCCCGTCGTTGAGTGTTGAATTCAATGATAACATTATTATTTTAAAAGTGGACACTCAGGTCAATACCGAGTGGTTAAAGTTTGTTTCATGCTTAAATACAATCTTCATGCGTGAAGCTTACTTTCAAGCATGAAACAGATTATCCACACTCAGCTTTGACTTTAGTGCCCACACCACTCTCATAGTTGCACGCTCTCTATCTCTGATATTGAACACTTTCACCAATAACTATAGCATAACTTGGAAGTATATTTTTATCATATATATATATATATATATATATATATATATATATATATATATATATATGCAGATAGAGAGAGAGAGAAAGGTAAGAGAAAGGTAAATATATGAAAAATCATAAACAGTACATATTTATATTCAATCATATTTTTGTTTACACATGCAGTTAGATAGATAGACAGATAGGAATAAATAAATAAATAAAGAGTGTCAGTTCACTACCTGGTTAAGGCGGTGGGGAATTTGAAGAAGGGAATTAACAAGAGATAACTGATAGCTGACATCCATTAGACATGGCATGTGGAACTAGAACAGTTTACCCCTGCGCGCGAAATAAAGTGTTCAGTTCGACATTCCAACCACCTGAAGAAGGCTGGAGCGTACAACGGCCGAAACGTTGTGATAAATATGGCGACAAAGATATGGACAATAGTTCGAATAATGTAAATAGTGTACATAATAACTCATCTAAGAAATATAGACAGATACTGATGAAAGAAAGAAACAGAATGCGATGAAAAAGTAGAGAAATGCAATGAGAAAGGAAAAAGCGTATGCAAATCATATAAATGTGAATCTCCTCAAACACACGCATACACACATATTATATACAATAACTCTCTCTCTCTCACACACACATATATATATATATATATATATATATATATATATATATATATATAGTTGACTGACATCAATCCAACTAAATATGTTAGCTGTATCACTGATATTGAGCGCTTTCCAATAAGTAATATATAAATAATATATGTAATAAATTGCATATATATATATATATATATATATATATATATATATATATATATATATTCACACACACACACACACACGCACGCACGCACACACACACACATATATACAGATACACACACACACACATATATATATATATATATATATATATATATCAAGAGGAAGTGAGAAAGAGACAGAGAAGTGAAATAGAGAGATAGTAAGGAAATGTCAGGAAAAAAAAGCTTAAAACAATACATTTGCATACCTGCACCTCTGTCTCCGTACACACACATACACTCACATTTATAAAAAAAAAAAAAAAAAAATGAAAAAAAATCAGATTTACTGTTAACGGGGCTCAAAAAGCCTATTCATCGAACGATGAAAATAAAATGTTCCTAAACTTCGCACTTGTCTTTCCCTTCCTGGCCATAGAGACGAACGTGGGGATGAACAGTAATAAAAAAAAATCAGGGCGAAATAATAAAGAAAGAAAGAAAGACCGGATATAACCCCTTTCCCCCACAAAAAAAAGAAACAAAAAACAAAATGGAGGTTGTGTCGCGAGGCGTTTAATATGATACAAGAAAATAAAGAATTAGGAGGAGAAATTGAGTAGATTGGAAGAAACATTTCTTTTTCTTTGTTACAAAAAAAGGAAAATGTAAAAACGTAAAGAATGAAGATGGGAGATAGGAAAGAAAAAAAAATGAACAGAAAGGGATAATCATAAAAAGAGATTAAAATCCTTAGAGGAAAATGAAGCAAAGTATGGGACGATGAAAATAAGCCTTAGCCTAAATGTAGTAATAGAAGTTTCAATAGTGCATTGTTAATTAATGTTAGTATTACGACGAGTCTAAACAACATAGGTGCAAGCTATAAAATCAAAGAAAGAAAGAAGGAAAAACAGAAAGAAAGACGACGAAAGAAGCTCGATAAAGACAGGACGATAAACATCGGAGAAAACAGAACGGAGAGAAAAAGAAAAGATAATCACAAGAATAAAGAAAGATAAAATTAAAACAAGAAAAAGTAAAAGAAAGAAAGAAGAAAGAATTAGAAAGGGAAAAGAAAAAAAGAAAATTCATGCAGAAAAAGAAAAGATGAAAAAGATATGAATTAAAGGCTAAAAGTAAGAATCAATTAACATGATGAAAAAGAAGGAAGGAAATGAGAAAGAAAGAAGGAAGATGAAAATAAAATGAAACAAAAAAAGACTAAAAGAAGGGAAAAGGTAAACGATGTCATGTAAAAGAAAAAGGCGGTAAAAGATATATGATGGATTAAGTAATGAAAATAACACGATATGAAATCAAGTAAAAGAAATTGCATGAAAAAATGGTAGGATAATGAACATGAAGATGGATAGTGAAAGAAAAAGAGGAAGAGAAATACAAAAGATAAAACAATGAATGAAAAACTACGAAAAATATAAGAAGCAATTGAAAGTAAAAAAACGAAGTAAGGGCTGGCGGTGACATGTAAAAATATAACAATAATAAAAAGATCATTTAAAAACGGAAAACCTATACTGAAGAAAAATACGAAAAGATGAAAAAGAGGCATAAAAGGCCGACATTAAATAAGTGTAAAAAAAAAAAAAAAAAAAAAAGAAGAAACAACAGAAAAACTAAACAAAATAATAAATACATGAACATTTCCTAGAAAATATATAGATAAAAAAAGGAAAAAGTTTAGACAGGAATGACTCTATTGAACGGAAGAAGACCGAACGAATGAAAGGTGGGATGGAGAAAACCGGCGCAAAATGACTGTGAATAGGAACGAAAAGCAGAAAAATCGAGGTGGCAAATCGAGTTGGTTTTAGGCTGAAGAGACATGATGCGTTACAACGAGACAAGTCAAATTGGTTTCTTTTTGGCGGGAATTGCTGGGATGTTGTTAGAATAGCAATAAAACATTGGCTGACGGGCGGGAAAAAAGCGGGAAATTTCTGGAGGGTGTGAAGAGGGAAAATGCCGCCAAAAAAATTGGCAGGCATGGAAAGGCAAAGAGAAAGATGACATAAAGAACTCGATAAATAATAATAAAAACGCGAAAAGAAGTAACTGAAGAAAGCAAGAATGATGGCAAATGGACGAAGAAGAAAAGAAATAAAACAGATATCTTCGAAATTCCTTCAAAAGTGCAATTATTTATCAAATATATTGCACAATACAGTAAATGTAAAACTTTGCAAATACAAAAGAAGAATGAAAAAAATATCAACGGGAAATAATGAAAAGATATCAAAACTTTATTTGAGAAGCACAAAGTGGGAGACATGACTTTAAACATTTGGACACTGTGAAGAATTCTAAGGATTTATCTTTGTGAGAATGGCATTATTAGACAACTGAAGAAAAGTAGAAGTTAAGCCTAAAAGGGCATTGAAGTCCACATGGATAAAGGTCGGTATAAAGTTTTTTGGAGCCTGGTATATAGCGTGTCATAATCAAAGCATCACTTTGCATCTCCAGGACGTGAAACAGAAAGAACTTTTTTTTTATTTAATTCCTAGTGAAATTCTGTTTGATGTTGTGAAACTTTTTATCTAATTCCTAGTGTATAAAAATTTCTCAAGAAAGGATTTATAAAACTATCGAAATTCTCATTTAATTTGGTCGAATGTTTGAGACAAATTAGTCAAATAGTGAATTTGGAGGAAGCGAGGAGCGTATAAAATAAATCATAAGAATGACAGTGTGGGAATAATAATTCAGTAGGAATCATGCAAAATATTTCTGTTCAAACATGGACAGAAGGTCATCAAACTATAAGTTCTACAATAAATAAAAGAATAAAACACTTAATTTCTTTTTATAGAAAATGATCAATTAAAAAAATAGTTTGTTTATTGTGAATAAGGAAAAAAAAAACATCGCAGACTATATTTAGTCGTCCCCCCACGAGGACGTCATGGTGGCACAAGGCCAAAAAAAAAACATCACAGACGGGCTCATGTCAGCAAATAGAGATGAAAAAAAGAAAAAGAAAAACTATTAATAACATAGAAAGATATTACTTAAGAACTAAAAAAAAAGCTATAGGAATTGAAGCCTATGATAGGTTGGTTCTGAAAACCATTTGGATGAATAGTAAAAGCCCTAATAGCGACATTAGAGGAATCTAAGATTCCAGACAAGATTGCGCTTAGCAACACTGCGATGGTCCTAGCCTCTATAAAAATAGTTATACAAGTACGAAATCTTAATAGTCAACATGGGGTGCAAATTTTAATAACATTTACCATGATTAAATCTTGCTGAACATCTGAAATGAATATGACTCGACATCAAATTGAAATAAATATTGGATTAATCTTAATCAGTTTAAATACGAGTAAGAGAACGCAATTAAGATTAGTACTATATATCGTGTAAATTCATTTTTCAGATCTTTAACTTTTCCCAATCTTTTTTCAAGCCAGTAATATTGGTTAGAAATTTAATTTTCATATTCCTTAATGTTTTTTGTTTTTTTTACAAGATTTGAATGTTTTTCAGCTTTTCCCTTTTTTTTAAAGTTGGTCTGTTGACACCAAGAAAACGAAATCGAATGACAACTTTTCTCCTTGGTGAAAATGATGAACTATAGGCAAATCGCCTTGATTTATACATCTTTTTTTCTTTCTCACTTTTCTAAAAGAGATTTTATTTTGATATATATATATATATCAAATTTATTTATATGGTCAAACCGGATTCGTTTACCCAGATCCCAGCAAATAACTTTCCTTATCCAGTCATGCCTATTTTTTGTATCCTTCGAAGCCAACTATTATTATTATTATTAGGAGTAGTAGTAGTAATAGTAGTATTATTTCCTTTGATTTCTGGTGTCTACTCATTTCTTTCCGGGTCCCGACCAGAGACCTAAGGCCAGAAATGACATCATGACATTTTCCACTGAGCAATTTTGAAAAAAATCACATATTTTACATGGATAAGACCCTTCGTAAGGTCTGGGCTGTACATTTTTTTGTATTTCTTTAAGGCATGGGTTTCCAGGTATCCCTTCAATGGGTCTACCGAGGATTCCAACTACAACTGCAATAGTTGATGTCCTCTTGTGCCACATTTTTGAGATTTCGATTTCAAGGTCCTTGTATTTTGATTCTGCAGGAACTGCTATGTCAATAAGAAGGCATATTTTGTTTTTGCGGTCTCTGATGACGATGTCTGGGCATTTAGCTCTGATTGTTCTGCCTGTGTGTGTATTGTAAAGTCCCATAATATTGTTACAAGTCCTATATCAGGTCTGGGTGGTGTTCGTACCAATTTCTTGCTGTTTTGTTTCCGTAAAAGTTGCAGAATTTCCAGTGAAGATAATGGCCTTCTCTGTTATGCCGAATTTTATATTCCGTGATTAACAATAACGCACAACCTGATAAAAAATGGTGAATTGTTTCTGGATATTTATAACAGAATCTCCATTTTTGGCTAACACATTTTTCCACTATGTGTGTTTGGTAATTTCTAGTTATCAAGCATTTGTCCTGTGGAGCAAGAATAAAACTTTCGGTATCAGCTTTTAACCCTGCACTACGTAGCCACGGATGGGCATGGGGTTTGTCTATATCAACTTGTTTGGTATAGCTGGCCACTCGTATCCGAGGATATCTGTCTACTAGGGCGGCTAGCCAATCCCTATTACAGGTACTTGCTTAGGCGCATTAGTGTTTATTCAACACCCACAGATCCTACCTGTGTTTTTTACTTGAACTATGCTGAGCAGACCTTAGTTATAGTTTCTGGGAAAGAATCAACAATCAACAATTTGAACAAGGCCAGCGGGCTCAAGCCCTTGGCCACAATGATTTGTGACTTCGTGCTAGCACAGCTATTGGTGGCACCCAATTCCACTCCCAAGGCTTGGGTCAACCTGTTGTATGATTTTCAGGCACTTTTCAAAGGTGACGCACGCTGATATCGTCCCCTCCAGTCCGATAACACCAGGAAGTTTCCTTTCTGACAAATCGCCCATGGTGAGATTAGACTCGGGTCTCATTGTAAGAATGCGAAGGTTCGAATCACTCAGCCACATGCCCATTTCTCGAACACGTGGCCATCAGCTTGTTTCGTACAGGCAGTGAAGCTGAGCGCTTTAACTTGTCATCGTTTCTGTATCTGGTCGGTTTGCTTTTGTTTTTAAGTATTTTGCTTTACATATATTTTTCACGCAGATTGTAGTAGTTGTTTTTGTTATTATTGCCGGCGTTTGCACTGTTTTCGTTTTCAACCGTAAATCTGGAATCATGAGTTGTACGATCTCAAACAGATAACACCTTTCTTAGGACAATCCTAAGCGACTGACAGTATGTTTTATGCCGATTTTTTCAATTTGAGATTTGAAGTTGAGTACGATAGACCCCAATTTCCCATTGATAACTAGGACAGTATCGGGCTGAACGTAACATCTTCTGTCACATTGATTTAGGACATTGGTGTATTTCTTAAGGTCGTCAATTTCTTTGACCTTGATATTATGGTCATCAAGAACAGACAACGAAGATGTCTGGATTGGTGACCTGAAGAACACGTTTTGTTTGGATTTAAAAAAATTGCAATATCTTGATTTTGTCTTTTTCGAGCAAGTTCTCTGGCTTGTGGCTTTACCATTTGTCATCGTCTTCAAGTCCATACTTCGTCCATAGGCAGCAAGGAAAATCTTCCTTTTCTTTATGTTCAGTTCAATCACTTACCGGCATATATGCCTGTCTCTAAAGTTCTTTATGCCATTCTGTGAATGCTTCATTTTTAGGTTTATGCCATTTTAAAGTATATTTTCTAATGCCGATGTTGTTCGATTTTAGTTCAATCTTCGCTGTCAAGATCGGACAAAGAGAAATTCATTGTTCCCAACACGTTCCATATCTTTGGTCATCATCATCATCATCATCATCATCATCATCATCATCATCATCGTCATCATTATTGTTGAGTCTGAGAGCAGCATGTCAATAAAGTGACGCTTGAATACGTATATACGAAAAACAATACACCCTTCCTGACACGCAGGCTAATTATGCTATACAAAGCACATGCAGTAAATCGAAATGTGCACAATATGGCAACAATATTAGGACTATTGTCCTCATCTTTATTTCGACCGTTGTACGCTTCGACCATCTTAAGGTGGTTGGAATGTCGAACTGAACCCTTTATTTTGCTCACTGGGGTAGACTGTTCTAGTTCCACGTGCCATGTCTAATGGATGTCAGTTATCAGTTATCTTCTGTTAATTCCCCTCTCCAAGTTCTCCACCGCATGAACTTAGAGAGGGAATTAAGCAGGAGATAACTGAGAACTGACATCCATTAGACATGGCACGTGGAACTACAACAGTCTACCACAGTGAGCAAAATAAAGGGTTCAGTTCGACATTCCAACCACCTGAAGAAGGCTGGAGCGTATAACGGCAGAAATGTTGTGATAAATATGGCGTCAAATATGAGGACAATAGTCCAAATAATGTGAATAGTGTACATAATACCTCATCTCAGAAATATAGACAGATACCAATATGGCAAGAAGTTTATTTTCCTATTCTTGTTTACATCCATTAGAGGTGACGACGGGTTAGGGTTGCGTGTTTGACAGTATTTCCATAGAATTCCGGCTGCTCTTAAAAATGTGATCATCTGGGTAGCGTGTATAAAGAAGTAAGCAAGGCGTCATCAGCTACGGACATCTTTATTCTTCTCGTTTCTTTGAGTTCAAAAACTACTATGTCTTCTTCCATTGTTTCGGTCTTCATAATCCAAAACTTCCATTTCTCTCATTCGCAATTTCTTTTACTATGCACGTTTTGTGAGCCTTTGAAGTCTTTCATCCAAATGGGTTTCCTATTCCGATGAAAAAGGATCTCTTTTCTTTCCTTGGTAATGATGTCAGGCTTATTGGTTTTTATCAACTTCTAAATATGGACGGGCATGTATCAATAAATTCCTTGTTCCCAGAGGCGGTGTTCAACTAATGTTCGTATCATAATTTAATTTTTTTTATTTCTAACACCTGCACAATTTTCAGTGCAATTATGACACTGCCAGGTTGTGCCTGTGAAATTCCCACCCCGGTCATCGCCAGCGCTGAACATACTAAGACAGTATTATCGACAGTTTCCTCGTACTTTATACAAATGCTGAATTGTTAGACTTTTTCCATCTTGATGATTTTATGGTGATAGCAAAACTTTGATTTTATTATCATTATATTTTTAAGCAAGGCGTTAATGGTACTAGTACTCAGAGGGTTACAGGGAGTGGAGGAGAAATTAAAAGACAA